TCCTCATTTTCAGTTATGGATCAAGTGGGAGAGGAGCGATTGAACGAAGATATCAATTCTCCGGAACTGCGCGTCGAAACCTTCAGCATCGAAGGACTGATCAGCTTGATGAGCCGCTCTCCAAGCAGCGTCAACTCTAACGCGCACTAATCTGCTTAATTAGAGACTCTGATGAGAATTGAATTCTCGGTGCAGAGACGCGCAGTAATTGCACGTAATGGATGAAAATAATGCTGATAATACCGCTGTAGATATGGGTAACTGATGGCCAGTAGTAACTGTTAGTGAGCTGTGTAACTGTGACTTTAAATAGCCACTTCTGATCAATATTACAGTTAGAAAACCACTATGACAGCACTCCTGCGCCGGCTTGGTTCTGTTAGTGAATAAATTTGGACATGTGTTACGTGCACTGCTGACTTGCTACAAAACATGGAGATTAGATTAACGTGAACACTGCAGCTGTAAACATCGAAGCTGCTAGCGAAGCTGTTAATGCAGAAGTTACAGAGACAAAATAATTGTGTATATAAACAGGGTAATTGGATTGATTTTCAGATGAAAGTTTCTGTAGAAAACATAATTATGGTTACAGGACGACATGCAATAGCTGCAGACATGCTAAGAAATATGCTAATTCGAGCCTAGAAAGTAATTTGAGTTCTGTAAACTAGCAATAGTGACGAACAGTCACTAGTCACATTATAAACATGAGCATTGGATGAAGAAACAAACAACTGCCAAAACACAATAATTTGGATGTTAGTGTTATACCAGTTACTGCTGCCACCAACAAACCATTATATAATCCAACAGCTGCTCGAAATCGACCTTATATTATCCCTCCATCTAGCTATGAAAAAGTTTCGGAGACAAGCTTCATGGTCTGTTCAAAAATTGTATAGAATTCATTACATGGCGTTTTCTTTGCTTTTACATTTTTAGTAAACTTTAAATTTAAGTAGACTGATGATATAAGTTTGTTGTTGTTGTTTGGGTATTTTAGTTCGAGTCTCAAGTTCCTGGAGCGCGTCTCGATGGCAACATCTTGGAATCCGATGGCCTCCCGCGATAACTGTCATGGTTGAATTTGATAACAATTGACATCATTCCTGCGCACATGTCAGTTAGGCCTGCAAATTCACCAATTTGTCGTGTGTGACCGTCAACATAAGTTAATATTTTATTACTTTATCCTGAATAACATTTAATCTTTGATTCAATCGATCAGTGATCTTGTCAGCATTAACCTCCCTGGTAGCGACGGTGAGAATTTTCGTAGCGCTACTTCTAGCGTTAGCTGAAATTTGGTGTTGTTTATGATATTTGCTTTATAAATAGGCGTCAATATTTTCGATGACAGTTTTTTATTTATTCTAATTTTTGTTATACTGATTCTGTAATTTCATAATAACGCATATAGTCAATGTAGTTCCTTCTATTTCACGACATTCTTTATGTGTGGCGATGTGGTGTCTGAGGATATTAATTGAAGGCATTGGTTATCATGAGTATCCATGGCTAGTCATGGAGTAACCAAGGGTTTCTTGATGCCAGGTGAGATTTTTTATTCTCTTCTACAAGATTTACCGCTGAGAACTGATTAAGATGTTCATTTCATGAATGAACGATCATGAAATTTCATTTGCTGAAATAAATATGAATTTTTTGTGTGTAATCAAATCACGTTACAGTATGTGAATATCATGATCTCAGTCAATCTACTTGGTCATCAGGATTTTTAAAGAGATGAACGTTGGTGTTCTCTGTTACAACATTCATTTTTCATTTCATCCTCCTTTTAATTTATTCATATATGGTAGCGTTTCCTATATAAGTATGATTGGCCTGCCTCTTCTACTCTCTCGTGAAGAATATCAATTTTCGACCTCTTCCCTGAAAAAATGTACCACGACTTTAATAATCACAAATAATAAATAACATTGATGACGGTTGATGCATACGAAGACAAAAATGAGTCAAACCATAATTTTAATGCTGACATTGACTTCCGTTACCACGCCTTGTGCACGAATTGTATAGACAATTATTAATGCATTCAAACAAGAAGTCGACCCCCAGGTCTAACAAAAGCAAGTGAATTTATGCTATATTTTGCTGCTTTATCGTTTCTTCGTTCATCCTGTTGGAGCATTTTATTTACATAATTCTTTTTTTTTTAATTTACAAAAATCAGTCGTCAAAATGATCAACTTCAGTTATTTGTACAATTTAGTATGAAAATAAATGTAAGATTTAATTTACCGGTTTGTTCGAGCAGAAGTTAAGAACTTTCATCAAATTCCTATTTGGCCAGTACATCTGTCTCATTCTTTGCACATTTTCTATTTTCTGAATAAATATAATATTTCCATTGAACGAACAATTACTGCTCTGAACTTTTATAATGTCGAGTGATTGCTTTCCGTGAGTGGTGCGGGCTGATTACTATGCGTTTAAAACTTCTATCGGGATAAAAAAATATAACTTGGCTTGAATTCCGACCTCATAAATGACAGGTATATTGTAGACCTGAAATTGTTGCCTCTGCACAAGATATTTTCTAAATACAAATCAAATTCTGCATTTATTATAGTAAAATTTACGTGGCAAATAACTCTAATTTACGATCGGCACCTAAAACAAAATCGTATGGGCTGAACTTCATTGAAGTATAATATGTATAACTAATTCCGTTGTCATGCATTTGAATTTCATAATTTGCGCATTCCTTACGGATCGGATGAATGTACAACTTGAAGTCAATAAATTTCTGCATAGATCATTGTCATTAGGGTTTCTCATGAAAAAAAGACAGTGTAGAGTGTAAAAACAGTGAAAAGAGTGTAGACATTATTGATGTGAGAACATACATGAGAATTATTCAACATTTACTTCGCACCAGCTAGCCGACACGTCAATGCTCACGGAGCTACGTGGAATAAGTACCTGTTTAGCATGGCAGATTAACCTGCTTTTTTTAGATTAACCCGACGTTGCATCGGGACGGGAATTTTTAAATAAAAAAATTATATAAAATAAAAATTATATGTGTGCCATTGATATAAATTGCCAACATTTTGACTTTTTAAATCACATGAAACGCTGTGGCGCTATAATAAACGTCTGTAAAAATATTTCGTTTCACAAGCAATCCAAAATGTAAGCACTGTTAATGTTAATTTTTGTTAAAAAATGTTAACTTTTTCACAACAAATATTGCAAACTATTTTTCTGACATTTATGTGACAACGCAACAGGTTCTCAGCTGCGAGCGCCGGTCGGATATTGCATTATTACAAATTCCTGGCCTGCCGTGTCTTAAGTGATGTGTTTCTACCAAAGTCAAAATTAGGATGAAAATTATCTAATCAAGAGAATTTTTGAAAATCCTGATAAATAATTTTCAATTATAATAATCGCACAAATCATGAGAAAGGTCATTCACTTATATTATTTGAACGAGTTATACAGATAGGAATGTTATCTTGGATAGGATGTAAAAACCCGCTGTCTAATATTTTATGCAAAGAATCGGCTCTGAAGGAACAAAAATAAATAATTGAAAGGATGAACCTATGCTGAAGGATCTTCGAACAAAAGTACAGACGCAAACGATAATATTGGATTATCTTCACTCTAAAAGAAAAACGAAACTACATAAGAAAGTAAACATGTAGAATGTAGATAATTGCATTTAGAATAGAATTTAAGAATTACTCAATAATCTGATTAGTATTATATCTCAATATTCTGATAGAATACTATTGTATTAGAAATGCTGACCCATTCTTATCAGTTCTACAGTGGCTTGACACTCGCAGGGACGATCGAGTAAAAGTGTTCTCTCTGCTTTGGCTCTAGAAATTAAAATAGGAGAATTATTATCGTTATTCGAATTATTTCAGATGACAGCAAGATGACATTTTGCACGCCGAAATTTTCCCTAAATATACGTGGATAAAATCCGGTTAATAATAATATTCACTAACAAGGTAAAACCATTGCACGATATCGTTATGCCTTTGTTTCCACAATTTCCTCTATAATTAAACACGTAAATAGAGTTAAATTGTGAAACGTTCCGCTTAGTTTAGGTTAATTAGACTTGCTGCAAAATACAAATGCCTTTGTACCAAGTAATTGTACTCTGGTGTTAAAATCTGTAAAATTTTTCAAGTGCCTTTAATATTCTCAGCGAGAAAACGTAATCTTTGCGTGTGTCGACGACGCTTGATACTCAAGTACTGGCAGTAAACTCCGTAGAGTTTCCTCACAAATCTTTACACATGGCCAACTCTGGAAAACATGTTAATTGAACGGCTAGAAAAACTAAAGCTATTTTACAACGACTAATCCATTAGGGAATACATATAAATACTGGCGGCTAATTAATTCTATTATATTGAGTTGAAAGTGGATGATTTGAATTCAGGTGCTGGTAGGGACTTGTATGGTGAAGTCATTATGACATAATTAAAAATCAATTAGAAAAGCAAATAAAAATTTCCCTACGGTTATGTTTGCGAATAAGTATTGCGACACTGCTACTAATTTAGTATTGAATTGAAAAAAATATTCATAGTGCACCTGTGAATTTTTATCTGCAATTTATACACATATGTGGAGCAGCGATATGTTCTAATAAGTTTACATTTTCTTTGATGATTGTTTTCAAAACTGTTATTTAAATTTTCTTTCTTTTTACTTCTTTCATACTGCAACTATCCAAATATTTATAAATTACATCTTATGAATTTCAAGATCCAAACTTAAAAAAATCTCGCATAATTTATTAAGGATGCTGCATGGTCAATTTCTATCGTGGTTTACAACTTTTATTTAAATGATTTTCTTTTCTACTCTATTCAAACTGATATTATGCATATATTTTAAAAACAATAAATTTTTGAAATTCAAGACCCAGACCAAAAGAAAAATCGTATTTAATTTTGCTAGGATGATCACAATCTAGAGTGATTGTCCTGTCGGGTACGCACCTGTTGACAGCAGCACCAGAAGCAGCGGTGCGAGGCGAGGGCTCCGAGGTGACATGCTTGACAGCGATGTAATCACTGTCTCACTTGACCAGAGATCTAATTCAAGTTATAAACCTGGCTCAACGATAGCGTTCAAGTTTTCCCACATGCACTCATAGTTCAAGGTTTTCAAACAACGATGGTTCGTCTAATTTATCGAACAGTTTTCAACAGCTGACTATGAAAGTCAGTCAATTTATGAGCTTTTTCAGAAGCTGAGTTCTGTACTTCTTGCTGGCGTCAAGTTACAGAGACAAGCACTTTCCTTTCTGACCTGTTCGTAACGGATAAGTTGAGAGGCTTCACTGCACACGAATATTGCCGCTCTCATTTATTTTACTATAAAATTATACGGAAATTCTCAAACATTTGCAATAACCTCGGCAAGATTAAAATAACGGCAAAATAATTCAATAAGTTTGGTAAATATAATTACTTTTTTCTTGCAGCCTCAAAACCACCTGCGATAAAGATTAATAATTTGCTTATTTTTTCAATTAGTTTAACAAAGTTTCATTGCTCTACTTGTTTGTTCAAATGACGGCAGAGAAATCTCATTAAATTTATATCTGTAGTCCGTAAAAGTGGCCATCAAACTAGAATCTTCAATGATCGACGTATGCCTGCTCCCTATAATTGCCTGCACTTGCCGTCATTGTTAAAGATATTTCTTCACCGGCTGTCAAGTTCATCGAGTAAGGCTAATAATGTCTAATTAACTCTATTGGCGGTCCCATTCTACTTAACATTGTCGTCCAGAATCAAAATAGCTCAGAAAGAAAGATACGATTTAAAAATTTTCAATTTTTGATCCCGTCCTCAGAAGTGATCGCGTGTTCTCTATAAGATTAGCAGATATAAATTACAATACGGATTGCCTAATGCGCATAAAGTCTCATTTTTGCATCAATGAGGAAGTGAACATACATAATATATAAGCTCAAATTACTGCGCCAAACAACAGGACACCTGTGTCGTTTCAAACAGCTAAGAAAATTAAGTTATATAGTAGAAACTTTTACATCTGAATGCCCCTCATATATATATTTATGATGTCCTTACTTTTAGTATGAAATGAATGGGTTAAAAAACATTTTCCTCATAGCTATGTTTGAATCCAGAGAAGCAACTCGTTAATATTAATGCCCAATATGTGTAATGGCAATATTATATTTACTGTTTTAACGAAGAACTAAAACGTCAAAGTAAAACGCTAAAACATGTTGAGTTCTTTTCTAAAACTGCCCGCAAGTTGATATCAATTTCAGGAGATAGCAAGAAAAACAACTTCCACGTAATAAGTCGTAGAAAGTTTACTACTCCACAATAAATTGCAAGCCTGATGAAGGAGTTTATTTATTTAATGCATTTGCAGTTCTTTGTAAAGTTTTCAGTGAAAATAAAGGATGTAGCCGAACAAGACACCCAGCAGAGACACGTTGTGTTTTTTTAAGAATCTTGTTCATTTTGCTTCGTTTGTTCGGCATCGCTCTGGTACATCCTTGAGCGTCGAAGCAATTAAATGGCGTATTTGCTTAACCGGGGTGAGACGGGAAAAATACGATTGACCCACGCAGCAGATCAAGTTAGTCAATCAATGTTTTTTCTGCTTGTTATAAAAACAAAACCTGATACAAAACCTCATTTGGACGTGGTGTTATCTTTCTATGGTTTATCTGCATTGCAGAAGAAGGCAATTTACTCCGTGTTTTAGTTTTAGATTGCCTTGTTTTATCTCTTTGCTGCGCATGTATTTGTTAGCTCAATCTATTCCAGCTTTACACAGTCTTTGATGAATAATAAGAGTACCTTTTTGAATTTCTCCTGCTAATTTTAAGCGCCAGGAAAGAAATTCCTCTGCCCCGATAAGTGTTTGAAACTAAATAATAATAAATTTTCTCTGATCAGTTCAATCCATCCTTTGATGTTAAATATATTATTCATTCATGTTTTATCAGCCACTTGTTGTTAAAACGCCAATGACAGTGAAGGTTGGTTTTGCAATTTATTCACTGCTATTTCATATTACGTACATAATTCATCTCTCATATTACTAAAACTTTTTTATTTAGCTATAACTTTTTTATTTTGTATAACAATGTACCTCGCTCACTACGCAAGTCCAAGCAGCACAAATATTCGAAATATTTCATCGCTGTTCTGTGCAATTTTCAATAAAGTTTGACTTTAAGAGTGTTACAAATTCCAATTAATAAGTTTTAGCTATAGCATATGTGCAGTGCCTTTTTCAACTTGAATTTTCATCAATAGTTGCGGGCTTCGAACTCCTAACTCGCTGTTCTAATTTTTAGTGACCTTAGCCATTCTGCCCCCTGAAACTAACGGCACAGACAATATACTTTACCTTAGGCAGAGAAATTTTTGTAATAAACTTCGTTTACCCGGGTTTTCAACGTCATTTGCAATATTAAACGATCTAAGTTGTATTGGTTCTGTATTATGATGTACGACAACCTGATCTTGCATCATAGATGGGCATTCTACTGCGGCCGTTAGAGGCATGAGGAGTGTCGACAATTTTGTATGCTTTTGTGCGAAACTCTGATAAAACAAGCACTGGTTTGACAAAAGTGATTAATTAATTAATTTTCCTTTTTCAAACCAGAAATCACATTGCGCTGTGAGGTGAATATTTCTATGATGTCTGAGGGAACTAGAAAGCTAAATTTTTCGATGAAAATATTCCATACCTAGTCAGATTTGATCGCAGTATCTTATGGACCCTCGAAGGTTTTTGCACTTAATGTATCCATTGTTTGACTTTAAATTAAAAAAAATTGTTCCCCGACGCAATTTTTCTCAGCCCTCAAGTATTATGATAAGTTTTCCTTTTATGGGCTGCTGGAGTATAAATAGGAAGCTAAAATGTACATTGAACATGAGGCAATATCCCCTAAGATATCCCTTTCAATATTTTATTATCGTTATCCTCACGTTGTAATATACTCATAATACTAAGCGAATGGAATTCACTACCCCACAGATTATACGATCATCTTATTTTACGCGATTTTGTTTAACCGATAAAAACTAACAGAAAAACTTGATTATATTAAAAAATCCTTCTCATTGTTCACCACTGAGACGACATTGCTGAACAACACAAATTCTGAGGCTTTAATTTAGCGATTTAGGTCTCGGTCGAGAGCCAGGGTCCGCACTCTGTACGTCGGGCACGGGAGCGACGTGCCACGCACACCATCACCAGCCGGTGCCTGTGGCCTACTGGCTCAGTAACCCTTTGTTCTGTGATGCCCTCACGAACCCTCTCAGTCGCAGTGCCCTTTGAAGAATGATGGCTGAGCTTTGTTTTCCCTCAATGACTCGCTGAAGAGGCAATTGGCGGCAACCACTGCTGCAGGAAAGGACCTGGCGCATCGTCCACGCCAACGTTCAGGATAAACTTGTATTCGGATGCACAAAAAACACAGAACTTTTTCTCCCCCAATTCTATTTGCCCTCGGTTGCAGTAGTATAAAAGTCAAGTAAGTTTTTAACATGTCTGAGTTTTGAAGTTTGTTGGTTTCTGCCGGAGGTTCACAACCTGCGGAACGCTCTCCACTAGTGGAACGGAGGTCATAGGGAAATTTCATTACTATTTTCGGTTTGATGAAGATTTTGAACTTTCCTAATTATGGCTTGATGCTGTAATTATTATTCGTATGGAATGCACTAATACTACGTATTACCATATGTTGGACGTAAGATTATAACAGAAATTCATTAAATCCGTTGTTTTATATTTTCAGTTCCAGTTTTAAAGCCCAATCATACGCGCACACTTTGACAAATAAACGTAGAATGAGTTGGTGGCATGCGACACTACGAGACCAAAAAGTAGTACTAGACCAGGAAAAGCCTAAAAACCCTACTCTAAATACTTTAAAAATATTGTCTTTAGATTTTTAACGCGTTTTCTGGCACGAAGTTACAACACGTGATGTCATTGCATGTAATTGGAAAATAACGTACACTCGTATATAAAAAAGTTCATGAAAATATTTCTGCGAATTTCGGGCTACCTTGCTGAACTCGTGTATCTGATGCTGTACCTTGTAAGCAAATTGATGAGATACTGTTTAAGCAAATCTACAATTTTCAAATCTAATAACAGGACCTTTCTAAAAGTTTCATGATTTTTTTATTATATGTAGAGCATTTTATTGTAATTTTTAAATTTTTCTCTTTCCTACTTGTAAGTTCACTTAAATGCTCACCCGGAACAGTGTTTTATTCTCGATTATTAAATTTCGTTAATAAATGGTCTCCAGGGCAATAGCTATACGTTCCATCAGCCATACAAGCCGAATTTAATTTCAAACAAGTAGGCTACTACTTGTGGCCGACTTGGATCCTAATTGAAGTTTAATACTGAAACTTGCAGTCGGCGTAACCCTCTACAGGGATTTCATGCCCTGTATAGAACGGTTGTAGGCATTTCTACAATGAAATTCGTCCAGAATGCCAGAAACGCCTCCAGAATAGCACTGTAAATAGCGCTGCCCAGCTCTTCATTGAGCTACATTTAGTAAATGAAAACTGACTTCAAAAAATATCTAAATCAGACATTAATTATCATGAAAAGCGAGGAGGTTAACATCTAACGAAGGCATTTCCGAAGCAAATCAGTGTAATAAAAAATATTTGCTTCCCTGAAATGATAATAAGTTTATGCCTTCCAATTTCCATCTCAAGAAATCAGACCTTCAATTTTAAAATCATCTTGATTAGTTCAATGAAGTTGATCTGGAATCTAAAAACATTCCAGGTTTATAGAACCAAAACAAAGTCGTTATATAATAATGTTTACTGCCTTGATCGGGACGGCTGCTCGACAGCTTGTAAGAGATTCTGCACGTTGAAGTGAACGTTGTACCAAACGTTGTACTGAAATTCATAAAAATAATTCACTAAAATACAATCCTCCATTATATTTCTTCCATCCATGAAGGTAAAAAAATTAAAATTGTCGGATGTTGCTACGTCGTAATAACGGCTGGAAAACTGAATAGAGGAAGCAGAGCGGTTCACCAGAAATCGTTAAGAAGGGAAACAATTCCCACCACAAAAAAAAAATTGGCTGATTGATAAACGCATGGCTGATGTTTTTCGCATTTAATTCAATGGCCAAAATTCAGCATGATTAATTTTTCTCTCAACAGTTGGCGGGGACAATTTATAATATTTTTTATTCACAATTTAAACTGAAAAACAGTTGCTAACAAAAAATCGAATTCACTTGAAGAATTTCCATTCTGTGAATAATATTTGTTCTCTCAGTTTGCAGAACTGAGCAGAACAAATTGCAGAACTGTCCTTCAGGAACAAAAAAAATATCCAAATAAAATTCATCTTGTGGTTCGTTGCAGCACCGATAACTGATTAATATTTTCATTTCGACTATAAACGTTTTTCGACT